TTCCTCAACTTCTCTTTTTTCACGAGTTATACACAACTCCTACAAAATTTACACATTTGTATCGTAACATCCCGGATGGCCGAGATGGCTAAGAGCGTGTATCGACTCAGCGCGTCGATCCGTGTGGCGGACCCGCCTTGGGCGTGGTTGTTTGCTCCCGTGTCTCATGTATATGTTGACACGGAGGGCCTCACGTTCTCCTGACCCCACATCAGAGGAGCCCGCAAGTGTATTAATGGCTAGTATGTGATCGAATATATGTCCCAACGGGACGTAATAGGCAATCGGTTGTCCGCTGGATACAGCCTTCGCAAGAAGAAATGGTAACATTTTATATTGTTAAAACAATGGTCACAATTATTTTTATTTATTTATTTATATTATTTTATATTTTTTATTATTGGTATTTTATATATCATATTTTTTATCTGCAAATTAGACTCTTTTCCAGCGGGAGCTCCTAAGTATATGCTTAATCAACGTAGGCCTCTAAATTCACCCAGGGGCGCCCAGAAGGAGAGGCAGCAAAAGCAACTCGCCCCAGGTTCCGAATTAATCGGGAACCCGCAGTTTTGTAAATGCAATACAAATACAAATGTATATACTTCTAACTCAAATTAATCTCTATAAGTTATTTTTGTTGTACGTAGAAATATAATGAATTTCGTTTATGTGTTGAGGAGGTGGTTGAAATAGCGGGGCCTCTGTGGATCTACAGCCCCAGGCTTCTTGTCTTCTGTGGGCACCTCTGAATCCACCCCTTTGTGCGTAGGAGCGCCGCATCGCGTTCCGCCTCAACTCGGTGACTCCTTCGGCGGCGGCTGCGCGCGCGGGGGCGGGCGCGGAGGAGGCCGAGGCGGAGGCGGCGGAGAGCTCGGAGCGGCCGGCGCAGACGGCGGCGGCGGGGGCGGCGCTGGCAGCGCTGTCGCGGCCCGAGCTACTGCCCGGCGGCGCCGTGGTGGGGCCCGACCCCGAGGACGAGGTGGCGCGCGCGCTCGCGCTGGCGCCCGCCCACCGCGACGACGACGCCGACGCGGACGCCGCCGCGCTGCAGGAGCCCCACGACCTCAAGGCAAGGCCTTCTTTCTTTACTCCTTTTTATGTTCTTCCTTTTCTGTTTCTTGTTTTTCCACTTTTGTCTTCTTTCTTTTTTGTTATTTCTTTATTTCTTGTCTTTTTGTTCTTTCTTTCTATTTCTTTCTGATTTTCTGCCATTTCTCTCTCTCTCTCTCTCTCTCTCTCTCGGCCTTTTTGTCATCTTTCTGTCTTTTTCATGATTTTGCTTTCTTTACTTATATTTCTTTCTCTTTCTTTCATCTATTTTTGTTCTTTCTATATTTCGTTCCTCCCTTCTACTTTTTGATATTTCTTCTTCTTCCTTTTTGGTTACTTTTTCTTTACTTATTTTATTTCCTCTCAATTGGAATAATATTTCGTGCTCCAGAATCATTTTTCTTGAGTTTATCCGTTGTAGGTACTGTGAAAGAATGAGCTTTACTATATCACTTGTTTAAACTGATATCGTAAGTTTCAGATTGCATATAGCACAAAAACATTCACAAAAACTCATATCCCAAGAGACAGTCGAACTTTCAATCCATTAAAGCGAGTAGCTCCCGTTTTTTGTAACTTGCACTCCCACTGGCATTTGTTTATTTAGTGAGTTAGTTTCGTTGAATCCATAGTTCGAAATTGCGTCACATTCTTTATCAGTATTAACAAATATGGCTTCATAGATATACCATATAATAGAAGCTAGAAAGAGAAGGAAAAATAATTCTGATTTAGCAAATGGCCATATGTCGAAGATTAGAGAGTACAATTCACATCTTTACACCAATTTGTGAAATTTTATTTATATAAAATTATGCTAAGAGAAACAATTATAAAATATAGCAAAGTCATTCTCCACAAAAGATAAGGAAAAAAATCACAGAACTGATTTACTTCAACTATTGCTTTTATTAACATGCCTTAAAAAATCAAATGCTTCCACCGCTTTTTCCTTTCCTAGCTGCTCTTCATTATTTTTTCTTTCTTTGTCCGCGACCTCTTTTCCACGCCATTATTCAATTTTGCACTCTTTTCTTCACTTCATTTTTTCTGTTCTTTCCATATTACTCCTTCCTCCTCCAAGTGTACTACTATTTTAATATTTTTACGCTGCATTTCTCCTAATTTAATTCCTGCTCTTCATTATCCTATTGTCATTTATGTTCAATTTCCATTCTTCTTTATATGAAAGCTATGCCAAAAACTTGACATACAACTCAAAACTTATTGCCGAACAGATTACCAAAAATTGACAATAATTGCAACATTACCATCATCATTCCTAACGCTCTCTGGGATGCTGCACGATTCCGAATCTTAAAAGACAAGAGAAAGTTTCCCGCGTCGATGATCTCGATCAATGAAACTACTCCACTCCTTCTTGTCTTACTGACCTCTGACAGCGCTCGAAGCGACATCTGAATTAGAAACCCAAAAATACGCACGCCTTGCAATTAAGAAGTATAACAACCTAATGACAAGCAATACTGTTACTTCTCGCTAATATATTCTCACGAAAATAAAAAAGAAGATGTCATGTTTTACGACGGAGGCAATATAGTAAACACTTATCAAACACTTCTTCTCTTTGATTCTTCCCAGATATATATCCTTTCATGTTTTTCGTCAGCTTTAGAACCAAATGTGTCTCCCAAAGTTTATTATTAATCATCCATAAACCTCATATTCTCTCGTTATGGATGTTTTCTTCTGTTCTCTTTATAAACATTATCAAGTTATATTCTGCAAATGTAAGGTAATGTACTACTAGAGTTGAAAATGTGAAGCAGAGACACCCAAAGCGACCCAAATCAACCTTTCATTTCACTTCCAATCTCTGTATTGTAACAAACTTCTATACACGTTCAATGAACAAACATCAAAATTTACAGAAAAAAAAGATATCCTCACTCCGGATCGAACAAACCAAATACTAAATAATATTTCATATCACAAGTAAAAACGGATTATTTTTCTTTATAATTCAAATAGAACAACATATTTGCAAGAACTTGTATGCTTATTGTAGTTTTCCCTTTTCAATGATTATAAATATATATGTCGTTGATATCTCTCTAGACCACCATACCTTTCCCTAACCAATAAAGTGCCACGTATTGTAACATGGGTTAGGCCACCCTTCCCTCTCTCGCCAGCGTATTATTTTGGCAAACGACCTACCTAACTGAATTCGACACCAATTTCCCACGAGTGACACGCCTGCCCGCAGCATCGGCCTACTAACCAGCCAAAACCTCCTCCCGCCGTGGGCGCTCCCAACAAACCGTCGACACAGCGTCAACGCCCGCCGCCACCTCGTCACGACGCCGACGGACCGCGCGCCTCGCGGGGCGACCCCGCAGACACGCGTCCAACTCGAAACTGAAAGCCTCGCTCCGCGCGGCCGCGACCGCGACGCGGCGACGCGGACGGCGCAGACGAGCGCCCCGCAACGCCCGCGCCCGCTAACGCCACCACCCGCCATCATTCGGACGCCCCACGCATTCAACTCCCGCAGCAGCCCCGCTCTCTGCTCCTCCGCCGCCGGCCTCCCTCGCCACCGCCAGCACCCCCGCCGCCAGCGATCGTCGGCCGCCCGCTTCACCCCGAACCATGGAGCAGAGGTACGCACAGCCCGCTTCCGCCTCTCACTCGAAGGGTGTCTTACAAGGACCAAACTAGTCACAAATTCCAAAATTATTTCAAAGCACAAAACACTTCGAAGACCTTGCTAGCAGATGAACTTCATATTTTTAACGCCACCCTTATATCTTGTCAAATGTAATTGGCTGCTTGCCGAAGAGAAATTCCCGACACATATCGATTAAGTTATAAGTAATAACTTTGTAAAATCTCAAAAATGGAATTTGGAACTGTTTGGACTTTCGTAAGAAATTGCCTCATTCTAATTAGTGTGAGCTATCCCAGACCTCGAATCACTGAATTTAGCTCCGAATCCAGTATCAACGGCCTGACTCCAGCGACCTATGCTGTTTAGTCCAAGTCCCGGCAGCGGCTGTGATAATATTTTCTCGTAAACAATCCAGAGATAGACACACATACGAAGACACTCGCAGCGTACTTCTTGTTCTCGCGAGGCATCTCAGCGCAGTATTCATTCTACCTTTACAGAAATCACTATTACAAAGTCATGGAGCTCCGTATAACTATCAGATGTGAATCGTGCATTGCTCTGGATCTAGCAGAGATCGGTGGTTAGGTCACGCGCTGCCACACACGAGTTTAAGAATAAATGCTGTGGCCTGCAGCCGAACGCCCGGCCTCCAGCCTATTCAAACTAGCTAACCACGCCCCGTCCCTTAAAAACGAGTTTTGCACGCGAATTGTATACAGCATTCTACCAGCATTGTCGATCATATTGTGCATGCACATATCGATTCTCTCACTTTTCTACATTCTAGTGCAAACGCAGAAAGATCGAGATGAAGACGTGAGCCCGGACAAAACATGAACTCCTCTCCATAAAAGTAGAAGAGGATGAGCTCCTCTGGTGCTACACCATTTTTGCTCTTCCTGCACAAAGCACCATCTTGCGTCACACGAACCCACATGACCACAATCACGGAACACTTCTTTTTGTAATGCCCAGTCCAGACAGCCCCAAGTTGCATGAGAGCAGCGAAAGGGATGAGAAAACATTTGAAACGTGAACAATTTCAACCGGCTGAACAACTAAAAATAACCACAGAAGTGTAATCCTTACATAAAATATACCAATATTTTATTTCTAAAACCTGCATCTTCCTATAGTTTGTAATTCCAATTGTAACAAGGAAATAATCTTTGCACCACGCTTACAATTGTACGCAACTGGGTGCACCTAAAGCTCATTGCTGAGATGGATACGCGGCACACCCCACATCCACTTTCCCATCCAACTGCTCCCTAAACCTTAAAAACTATGCCTTCTCCCGGTACGCTCAGCGTTGGAACATCGACTCGAGCACCCGGTCCGCGGCGCCACCAAGCTGCCCTCCCCGAACCGCGCGGCAAAGATCTCACGCCGGTACCCCCGCGCCGACGACGCCCGACCAGCCGGCGCCCACACGCCCCCGCCCCGCTGCTGCGCACGCCCAGCCCCGGCCCAATGCCCTTTCGCGCGCCTGCCCGCGCCCACCGCCACCGCCGCCCACGCCGCCACCGCCGCGCGCGTCGCGCCGCCGCTCGACTACGAGTACTACGACGACGAGGACGCGTCCGTGCTGGATGTCAGCCCGCTCTCCAGGAAGGTGAGTTCTCGGCCAGCAAGGCTCCCTACCCTAGACACACTATGCATTCGTGGTCCTATCGGCTGACTGGGCGCACAGGCGATGTTACCGTTGTCTACGTAGCAACTCGGACCGCGATGTCCTAGTTTTAGAGACCCGACAGTGACGGATTTTCGATAGGTCGATTCAGCCACAGCCTACAAGCAGACGGCTGCTCTAATTGGTAGTTTTCTGTGGTTTCTCTGATCAATACCAGGCGAATGTCGGAGCAGAACCTTGACAACCGGGCCACGGACCGCCCGCGCCTTCCCTTCCTCATACTAGTCCCTTTATCTCCCCTTACTCACACACACACACACCCACGCACTTACGCACTACACTGTCGCACATGTAGGGAAGCCTAACAAGATCTTAGAGCTGCTGACGGAGATACCTTCGGGAGAAAAGCCTACGTGGTCACCTTCGGAATTCACGCAGCAACGGGGCAGAAACACTACGACTGCGCCGCATATAGTATTCACTTATCATTGCAGCTGACGCGGCCGGACACACCAATGATAAAAAACGGCCTTCATATGAGCAGTAATTTGCCCCTTGCATGACTCACAGTGGTACTCCTCGGCTAGAACGTTTTCTCGATGTGATCTATCTACCCTTCTACTCCGTATTTAGAATAATTGACCCTCACCTCCATAGCCCTCGGTGGCTCGTTGGTTAGCGTGCTTTCCTCGGCGCAAAGCCGGGTTCGTGTTCGATTCCCGGCTGGGTTAGAATTATAACTGTACGGTTTCCTTACGAATGTTCTAGCATCTATTGCTGTGTGAGGATGAGAAAGCCCACCCTAAGGTATGAAGATCGATATGTACGGAGGAGGAATGTCTTCGTGCTAAGCACACGAACTCCTTATCCCATGGCCGAGAGGTCATCTCTTGTCGGCCATGGCCCGTATCGGGTGGTCGTGCCCTGAAGAGGAACATCCCTCCTTGCGATTAAGTAACATTGCGCAGTATACAAAGTCATGCCAGTACTGTAGAAGCATGACGCTGCTATGAACAACGCTGTGCAGACAAACATATCTAGGGACCTATTCATGAACGAAAATCTTGCGCAAATTTCAATATTTATCCTGTACTTCTAAGAATATTCGCCGGTCATACTTGTCGAAATGCATACTTGAAAAGTTTGAGAAAGTTGTTTGTGAAACACTAGAATGTGAGTGAAAAACCTGACATCTCATAGTATGGTTTCACTATTGTGTTTCAGATGCGTCTGTGTATTTATCCCTTTGCCTTTTGCAAAACAGGGAAGTTTCGATAAATATAAAAAGCACACTAGAACTATTTGATCTTGAAGGTACCGTTCTCCGAAATAGCTGCTGTGAGTTGTCAAACAAATTTCAAACTTTCTTCAAACAATGACATACACGATCAAAAGTTGGCGCACACAGCCCGTCTGCACAAATAATTTCGGACTCAAACGCGCAAGCACACATTCACACACGGGTGTTCACACACATGCGCTCTCCAGCGTACAAATAATTTGATTCATTTTCTATTTAATTCTGCCTAATTTTACGTGGCGATGTACATAACATCAGTCCCACTCTTCCGCATGACCATGCAAATTTCGCCACGCTCTTTTCGCCATCATTCGCGGTAGCTCCCCCCCCCCGCCCCCAACACACACACACAAAGGAATCACTCGGCCGATGAATCAGGGGAGTACAATTCAGCTCAGAGGCTTCTTTGGGCTTGAGAACCATTTACATGCAGTGAATCTACCGGCTGCTACGTGCACTGGGCTACCGGCTTTACTACACCTACCAAACAATGCGTACGACGGTGTTTTTTCGCCTATAAAAATCCACGGCTTGTTTAGGTTTGAATCCATGAACTTTGTAACAGTTTGGTATGGTAACTGTTACACAAATAAAGTCGCATGTACACACGCAGGCACACGAACTTCGAAAAACAAAAAGCTATAACCTCTGCCTCTGATGACAACTGCGCTTGCAGGTACGCATCCACTCGGACGGCTACATCGAGTGCTTGGACCAGGGCAACTTCCCGCACCCGTACTCGTGCAAGCAGTTCATCTCGTGCGCCAAGATGGAGAATGGCGACCTGCTGGGCTGGGAATACACGTGCCCGAGGCAGCTGTCCTTCGATCCCATCGGAGGCATCTGCAACTGGTCGGCGGGTCTCGGCTGCAAGGAGTGAGGTCCAGCATAGCCGCGTTCAACATTTCGAACGGCTCTTGTTCAACGACAAAAAGACATTGGTTAAGTTCTCTATCGCGTTTCGTTAGTGGTTCATCTTTTGCCAAAAGCAATACACTAGCTCGTTGAAGAATCATTGGAGTACAAAATAAAACTTATTTCACGAGAGAAATGCGCCTGATGATCGAAAGTGGGCCTCATGTGTCACGTCTGAAACATTCGCGGTAATAATTCTTATCTCTGTTGTTTGTTGAATATTATAGCATTAGCTTTAGGAGCTGGGCAAAACAATCTGTGCATAAATGTTTTGCTTGACTTCTGTTATCAATATTTTGTCAACTATCTTCATAAATCGTGTTTATAGCTACCGAAACGTGGTAAGAAAACGGGAATTGTTAATCGTTGAATATTCGTAATAAAGAGATGAAATATTTTTCATTTCCAAAAACAAAACTTAAAAATAAATAAGCTTATTTGTAAATTTTACATTAGAATTACATTCTACAACACTTCGATAATTAGATGATGCTATTAGGTTACGTAGAGCTTGCCTACTGTGAATCACGATATCTATATGAACTATGAAGACATTTGACCTCCAACTAAATACTTTCACTTCGAATAAAGTGAAGCGCTATCTCGAACTGGAGACACATTTTTTTTTTATTTACACATTCTAAGCCTAAAGTAGAATATTTGGAGAATTATATCCACACGTACTGCGAACTGTTCAAACGAACTCGATTAGTACCAAATTTAAGTTATCGAAGATAACAGAAGTGTATCCTAGAACAGAACGTGTCAATAGTTCACGTGATACGGGATACCTAAGGGATAGGTTCGAAAAATAAACGGACGCAACCGAGAAAGGAATTGTAGTAGTTAATTGGAATCTTAAGTGATAAGCGATCAACCCGTATGGGCACTTAACTTATACATCCTCACACATACTCACCACGTGGCATTTGCGCCTTCATACTCATCAATCATTTATTGTAATTATTCGTGTATTGCTAAAGAACCTGTTATTTGAAGGTAGTTTATATTTTTTAGCGTTTCTAGATACAGGGAAAATGTTTGAGAAATATTTACATCCAGTTGTGTACTTCTCTGCTTTTGTAATTACCTTTTCGACTTCCAATGTCAAACGATTCATAAATGTGAATATGCGCGAACGAATTGTGTGTAATATATCAGTGATCTTTGTAATAACTGTATTAAAGTTAATGCGTACAAAATAAATAAAGTTGTTACACAATATAAACAATACTTTTTTGATGATCCGGAATACATTGCAGCCCGGCAAGAACATCGGCATACAAAATACGCAATGTTTAAGAAATCACGAATAAAAATATCACGATATACAAGAAATTCTCTAAAATAATACTGACGAAGCTGCCTTCTGGCAGGTAACTTGCAAATTAGAGATCGGAGTGTTTCGTGCGTATCTGCAAACCATACGTTTTTATCAGAGGCATTGCCTAAAATGTATGTCCGTATTGAGTTCCTTCACTTTTCGCCTGGTTGCGACGTATTCCCATCATGCCACACTGACAATGATCTAATTGCTCACTTCTTATTTTAGTTATTTACATTAAATAGTAGTTCTGAGCAGAGGCGGCTGCAGCCTATCATTTTGGAGAGAGCCATCGTAGATTTTTGTTAAATAATATACATTTGTTATTGTTGTTGTATAATACTTTTGTAGTGTATATACGATACAATACAAAAGTTTTTAATTACATAATTATAACGTAAATATATAAATCAGTTTTTTCAAATAAAAAACATAAACAAAAACTTAAGCCCTTTTAGGGGAAGGGCCATGCTTCCCCCCTGGATCTGCCACTGAGGAAATAACCAATTAGCAATTGCCATTAAACAATATAACACCGAATTCACGCTTCCCATAACATTAATCATACAAAATGGTAGAAATCCCAAATTTATTTCAAATGAAATAATTTGATAGTCTTACCTGGACAAGCAACGTGAATGAAGTTCATCCTGGGCTTTATCTCGTAGCTTTCTTGATCTTGCATAAACTGACAGGTGATGATTACAAAACGGTGGAAGCGCCCTTACTACCATTAGTTCCAATTAAACGGAATTATACGAACATGAAATCACTAATGGATAAGTCGCTAATACAGTGCACTTATTAAATTATGAGAATAATCATATATTATTTCTAAAACGTGTTCCGTGAACATCCCCTTTTCCGCATGAAGTACACAATCTCATCAAATAAGGTGTTACTTGGAAGCTGAAGTCGCCGATGACTGCATGTGTATCTTACATGTTTGTGTACACTATATAAACATACTTCTTTTTTAATGTCCACATTAAACACAATCTGGCGGAGACGAAGTAAACAGTACTGGCAGTATCATGGAAACCAAGTCACAGCGTACCTTTCGTGCGCAGAAGTTCGGTACAATTTCAAGACGTATTTGCGTTTTTCTGTGTGTGGTTCCACTTCACTTCCGAACTGGTATGAAACTGTGATGATGATAGCAACGGTGTTAATAGCGATCATGGCAAGTTAAAGCAGACAGAAGCGGGATCAAGGGAGGCAGCTCAGGGCGAGGTGTGTGAAAAGGAGCAGAGTGGATTTGGGGAGTTCGACTTAAAGCAGGGCAACCCAGTGCGGATACACACTATTGGCAGAATTCAATAATTTTCGTGTTTGAATAGATGAATATGAAAATACCCGGGTTAGAATTCGGCTTTTAACTCCCCGCGCGATTAAATCGCACGGGTTTCCACTAGTAATATCTAATTATTAATACTCTGTCAAGTTTTTAACATTTATTCTTCATAGTTTCTGTAATTTCTTAAATGACTGCAAACTCCATATTACAGATATCCATAAAGCAACATAATTCCATCAATTTCTACTATACTACTTGTAATAATCAGACCACAGCATTCAGTAGGTGCAATTACACTCCTCACTCAAGAAACATAAGCAAATACCAAGAAGAAGAATATAGCACATAATATACTTTTTTTAAATAACCAAAAACATAATGCAAAGACACTTGTATTAATATTTTAATAGCACATATCTTTAGATCAAAACTTGCCCCTTGTACATTTATGTGCATAATAAATGTACTTGAAGTACATTTATTAACAACAGTGCAAATGCCTACAAGTGACTCTTTTATAAGAGATCATTAATGTCATTGAGTCAAAGTTTATAAAGTAAATGAACTGACACAAATATTCAAATGAAATCAAATGAATCTCCTGAAATCAAATGAATATCACAAATTCAAATGAATCTCCTGAAATTAAATCTGCTGCTTACACTCCTAAAAGAGGATGCCATTTATTTTAACAACCCTGATACTTATCTATTTAAAAAAAAGACATGTCAGACTGAGGAGAATCAAAAACAATAAAAATAGTATGAAAAACAAATATTTGGATTGACTGTCCAATAAAAAAATAATTTCAAGAAATGTATTTCTTTTGGTATCATTTTTAAAAAAGGTCAGTTCAAGGAATTAATCTCAATATTAACATTTTAATAAAAATCAAATTTTCATTCCAGGACAGTAAATATCTGCAAAATTATTATTTGCATTCCCTAGGAAAAAATAACAGAATTAAGGCATTGAAATCCACTATTTTGAAAAGCATTCAGAATGAAATAGTTTTAAATGTAATTAATTACTTCATAAAGGAATAATGTTAAGTGTACAAAGAATTCAAACATAATACAATAGTTTTAACAAAACAAATCTTTCAACTCGCTAAGACTTAAGTTTTTATTTAGTACGTATACAAGTTCAATATACACCACTTTACACCATCCACCTTCTCTTATTTGGAATCCTTCATTTGAAAACTGTTAAGCCAACATAATACTACTTTGAAAAGCTAGTTTTAAGAGCTAATTTTAATCTCTAGTACAAGAAAATAGCATGCAATGCGCCATTACCTCATACCCAGCCCTCTTTCAAAATAGAATATGATGAATCTTTCCTACTCTACAAGGCATCTTCAAGATCCATATATCCAAATCATGAACAAAACCCAAATGATATATTTGCAGCCTATTTTTCCATCTATGTGAGTGAAGCGTCACATTCTTTATTTAGAATAATTTCCATTGCCAATGGATAATATTTATCACAAATGGTGAACAGGCATATAGATTTCAGTATATGCATCAGATAATTTAAAGTTCACTCTCCTATTAAATATCTTTACTTTACTTACAAAAAGTTGCAACTTCTTTTCAACATTTCAACATTATTTACTAATTTTAAACATTGTTTCATTAATCTTGGATAAATAACAAATTTCCACATCTATTCTAAATCTATCTACATCAGACCTCAGTGTTGAATTATAACAAGTCGGACCTTTCTTGAAATATTTCAAGTAGCAATTTATTTAAATTGATTGAAATTGTCTTTAGGAACATTAAGGAATAAAGCCTGGGAATTTGGTGAAAAGTAACAATTGTATACATTGGTGTTTCGTTTTGTTTAATATCTTCCTCCACAGCTTTTACATTGGTGACATTACACAGATACGTAATATGGTGATATTCTTTATTTTTACACATAATTCGTATTGTAATTCATTAAGCATTGGTGATTACGTACAGAAAACACTAACTTGAAGATATATATACACACATACATTTAATTTTTTTCATATGAACCTGCATTTCCGCTTTCCACTGTTCAGTATAACAGATAAACGACAAGAAGAAAATGTAAATATGATATATCAGAGTTCTACAATTATACTGCCTTATATACTTACAACATATCTCACTATTATTTTTAGTTTTTTACATTTATTTAATTATATTTATTTAGTGGATCACAACAGCAAATCACAACTTGTTGAATTGCCAAGTATAAGACTTGACACCTACATTTAATGTTAAGCTAAAACTGGACTTCAAAGACTGAATTTTTAGGTTTACTTGGTTAACTTGTTAATGACCACCTAAAAGTACGAGTTTTCTTTGAAGAAAAAAAAAAAGTTGCTTTTCCCACACTTTCCCCCACAAAGGAGCTAAATTAAATATCGCATGATGTTTCATAGATTAGATTGCAATTTCAAACCATCTGAAAAATGTGTCATCTCGGTAACCCAGTAGCATTCAGTGACTGTTTATTTCTTTTTTAATGCTTGTACAATTATCATACATAGTTTTGCAATACATTTTTGCTACTGATTTTTACTTCTTAGCCACTTCTAGATGATGGTAGTTAATAGTAATACTTTCAACAGTTCTATATGCCTACAAAGATATTTTGCTTTGTGCATGATGCACAGGTGCTTCCATGTAGTTTTAAAACAAGGGAAAAGCCAGGATGACATGGCTTGTGTGACATGAAGAACTGTTTAGTAGGCATGGTTCTTGACGAACAAACCTTGCTCTCCTGCTTTGCCCTGCACAGTGCCTGCAACGTATTTTCCTAGAGAAGCGTCTGAATTCGCCTGGAAAATATGGAATAAGGTGAAATAATTGAAGTCATATGCTTTATATAATAGTATAAAAAAGCAACAAGAAATTAGTATTAGATTAATGAAAACAATTCAAATAATGTGCATTCTAATTAGTCCAACAAGAGTGGAATGTACAATTGTATCCATTTCTTTTTAATTTTGATAAGTAGAATAACTGAAAACAGCATTTCCACTTTCTACTGTTCAGTACAGCAGATAAACAACAATAAGAAAATGTAAATATGATATATCAGTTCTACAATTACACTATGTCGGATCTGTCTGATCATTGGTGTATTTTGAATACTGAAGACTACTGTCATTACAGTTTAACTAATTTACATAAATGAAATGAATTTTCACTAAAAGACCATCTGCAGAGGGGTATATCCCATGGAGTAAGGATTCACAGTTCAAGAGTAATTTTGGGAAATATTTTTAATTAGTTTAATGAAATAAAAAAAACATTTACTGAAATAAAATGAACGTAATTAATGAACACATTTTATGCAGTCTACATATGCAGTTCAGCATTTTGGATATTTTTGAATTGTAATAAATAAAAGTTTCTTCAAATAAACAAGTGATTATAAATTTTGAAAGTTATTTACTTTCATAGATCTGGCCAATTGACAAGAAGTTTTTTGACTGTAATAGCAATGAATCAAATGTAATGCATTGAATGCAATAACTGTAATCTTATGCAGACATTATGAAATGTCTTTATAACACATTTATCATCAAATGTTTTTATAAACAATACATTAAATCATAATAGACAAAAAATATTTGCTAAATCATTAATAAAGACATTATAATGAAATTGTTACTACTTATTAATTTTTATGTCATTTAAATGCAACCAGATCTGCCCTAAGTAGATCTTAATTACGCAAATGTGTTATGTTCATTAGCATTTAAATTCAGCAAATCGTATATGCAAAACCACTAAATAAAAATATTTATTAATTAAAGAAAAAAAATCTAGGGTCTAATTTCTATAGAACCTTTCCATACAGCTCCATTTCCCCAGAATATCACAATATACAAGACAGTTCTTGCAGACTGATAAAATTTACATTTGGCAATCTTTGCCACACATAATGAAGTACTTCCACTCTTGTTTTTAGATTTTACCATCATAGTACTTACTTTTAGGTGGCTATATGTGTGCAACTACTATTCAGAGGAGATAGGAAATAAATTTGCAGCAAAATACTTAAAATTGTGAGAAGGTAGAAAAGGAAAATTTAAAAGGCCAGTATGTGTGAAAAGTGTGAAGTGAATAAAAATATAAAGGAAAAATGCAGGAGGCAAGATCTAGTAGGCATGAGTAGCAACAAAGTTGGACTTCTTGGAAGCACGACTGGGAATGCTGCCAGCGACGTATTTGCCTTGGTAAGCTAAGGAGTTAGCCTGTAAAAAACACATGCTAGAGCACTCTTGCAAACAAAGGAGCATGCTTTTAAGCAAAGAAAAGGTCATTTGCATAAATGTTCAAGAATTTTTGATAAGCATACAAAGGTAAAAGAAAATTTATAATCTACCGAGGGTAAAATAAGATAAAAATCAAAAGCAAGCAAAGACTAATTCAAGAATATCCTGAACATTGTAAAATACAAGCAGAAGATTTGTTCTATATAAGATACATAGCAGAGTGACTATTTCATTAATGAACTAATTTCACAAATTCACTCATATTTAGATTTGAAGCCAAAAAAAAAAATAATTTCTTCATTTTTTCTCCTACCTTTGCTCTGTTCATGAGTTCTTGCTGAGCAGCTGGGATGTTTTCGTCCTTTCCTGCCCAAGCTTGCAAGACAGAAGCCTGCAGACAAATTAACCAAACAATTAGACATAAAACAAAGGCTAATCACAGCTCACAATTTATTACAAATATTTAAAACTTTATTTAATAGTTAGAAATTTTGCTAATATTAATCAATTTATAACAAGCATTTTCTGCAAGTAATTTTAATATTTTCAATGTATCTGTTTATTGTTACCTACATCAACAAACACTAAGATAACTATGCTGGAGTGCATGGCTGATCCTCCTCCCACTTCTATTGGCATGTTACTTTTAATAATTACAATTTATTACATTTGTTTTGAAATAAAACTTATGTATTGTGTTCTGAAAATAGGTTTCACATATTTTGATCTTTAAATTAAATAAGAAAAATTTGTTATTCTTCAAAACATATTTAAATTTAGTGATTCTTTGAAATTCAAATCTTTTTAGTGATTCTTTGAAATTTCTAAATCCTCTGATGGTTGTAGAAAATTTACCTCAACTACTAGAAATATAATTTATTCCTTTTATTTTCAGATTTCAGTAATCATTTTTAAATCATAATGTGAATATTTTTTATTTGCTCTCCTTCTGATAATTTACTCAATTTTTAATGATATAAATATGAGGTTTCACAGACAGAAACATCTTTGCACTGAATCATTCAGTTAATACAAAGTGAATTTCCAAAACAAATGTTAGCTGAAAAATTACATGAATAAAACAATCATTTCATATCACTTTTTAATTCATATTGCAAATTCGGAAGTGTTAAGCAACAGAAAAAATACATTTAGATAAAAATGAAATAATAAATGGATATCAAATTGCAGCTGCAATGAAAATAATGAAACAACAATCACACCAAAAATTGTCACAAAAAATTGTTTTCACGAAAGAGAGAGTTCTCAACAAATTAATTAAAATATCTTGGAATACTTTTTTCTTTCATCATCAACAATTATTAGATCAATAAATATATCATTCAACGTACTGGCATTTACAAGGTTTCAACCCAACATTTCGACTTCTCTAAAATTGCATGAAGTTTTAATCAGAGAATGAGAGCACTGATCATAAACATGTAAAATGCTTATGATATAGAATGAAAACCAATATTGCCATGAAATTAGGTTTGGTAAGGATTGGTATTCTGTTTCTTTAAAAAGTAGCATTTTTTAACATGTACCTGCAGAGCTCGGCCAAAGCTGAAAGTGAGCGCCCATGGCTTCCTGCCTTCTTGCTTATTGATGGCATCAAGGTTTTGAGTGGCCTCTTCCTCAGACTGTCCACCAGACAAAAACACAACCCCCGCAACCGCAGGCGGCACGGTCCGACTGAGGGCTGTCACCGTGCCAAGAGCATTGTCTGCAATCGAGGATTTGCTAGCACTCTGGGCGCCTGAAGTAACCATGTTAGGTTTCAACAAAGTGCCCTCAAGATAGACATGGTGATCATTCAGAGCCTTGTATACAGCAGCTAGAACGGTTTCCGTAACTTTCTGGCATCGTTCCAAGTCGTGCTCGCCATCAGGTAAGATCTGCAAAATTCAATTGCTTTCTAGATATTTGATGAAAAAGAAAGTTGAAGTACACTGAACCAAGCTTGTATAAGGAGTAATGTAATCCAAAAGTTCACAAAATGAGATTTCACAATTAATTATTTTTGTGCCTTTTAGATTCAGACTCATTTTCAAAATCTGAAATATTTCATTTAGTTAAGGCTACCAATTATGCACTATTGCTCAAAACAGTTAAAAATCAATTCACATTTCCTCCCAGAAGATTTCCTTATTATTTTCCTTGATTATTGTTTATGAAAGTATGAGTTTTAATACTAGGTAAGAATAGGTACGTACTAGGTTATTTGCACTGTAACTAATGTGACTGAGAGCGTAAGTAATGAGTAAAGTAATATATATTTTTCAAACAAAGAATGGTAAATTGTAGTAGTAAACTAAAAACAAACTTTTCATATAATAATAATAATAATTTAATTTAATAAAATAAATATCATAGAAAGGTAGAATTGTAAATGGAAAATGTTAAAAACAATGAAAATATGCTTTATGGAAGGAACTTACCTCAGGCTCTACAATGGGGACAATGCGATTGGCCTGGCATATGCTAGCATAACGGGCCAACACATTGGCATTTTCCAGAATGGCTTGGTATGATGGAGTGTTCTTGCCAATTTTCAGCACACATCGCCATTTGGCAAAATGACAGCCATCCTTCTTGTACTGTGCACACCGCTTCGCCAAGTCATCGAGTCCTGTGGCACATTATTTTATAATTAGCAACAAAAAAAATCTCTAGAGAGGATGATACCTGATATTTGAAAAACAAAACAAAAGATTAAATAATAATAGATTAAATTTACAATTTCCTCTTGATATCAAGTAAGACAATTTTTAAAAAAAAGAGACAATAACCCCTTAGCTGTCAGAGGAAATTCCGTATACCTAAACACAGAGTTTCCTTGACACCCTAGTAGTTAGATTAATTCTGACCAATTCTTGATGCAGAATGCCCAAGCTCTCATTAAAAAAGACAAATTTGACAAAACTCTATATTACATCTGTAGAACAGATCCTCCAATACATTCATATCATCATTCACAATTTATGTAAAATATTCCAGCAACCTTTTCCATTTCCGCCATCATCCATAATAGAGGACTATCATTCACTTCTATTAAATGTATCTACACAATCACTGAAAGGTTTTGATGAAATTTGTTTAGCCACAATTTTCTCTAAACAATTTGGAAACACTTAATTTTAATCCAAATTATTCAACAAATTTTATATAATTTTTGACTCTTCAATATTTGCAACTTCTTGAATAGAAAGATTACTTGTGAATGTAAGAGTCAAACTTGTTATTTTTCATTATTAACTATTAACAAGTTTTAATATTTGGTCTTGCATTTCACTGCCCTCAAAATCACCACTAATAATTGAATTCTTTTAGTAATAATGACTGAATTGTATAAAATTAATAATAACATTAATAATATTAATATTCAAATCATTTTTATATAAAAGTATTTAAAGAAAACCTACATTTCTAGCTAACACACAACTATCATCATGTTTTTCATAAAAATTAAGGAAGTTTTATACCTGAAATTTGTGAAAACTCTTAGAATTTTCTACTTTCTAATTTTCTCCAGTAATTAAACTTTTTTCCTTTTAATTTAATTCAAAACGCTTTTCTATGGGCTTTAATTTTTGCTATAATAAAGTTGCAAATCACCATGGCACTTATTTAAAACTTTTCTACAACTTTTCCCACAAATGAAATTTTTCACATGAAACATTCCAACTAAAACCTTTGATCTTAAAAAGTATTGAGAAAATAAAATTATCCTATTTGAAAATTGTTTGTTTATTTATTTATTTATTTTGTCAAGAGATTTAATCTGAATTGTTGATGAAATATTTCAACATTTTCAGATCTTTTAGTACACAAAATTAACAAAAAAGCATAGTAATAATAATTTACCTAAAAATATTTCATAAAAATTTCTTATTTAAGGAGAGAACTACCTTACAGGAACTTACCCTGAGTGGTGCATTCATCTTCGGAACCAAATAACGGAACCACTCCTTTGTCAACCTTGATCCCAGGAATAATGTTGCGTTGGCGCAAGAGCTCAACAAAGGGAGTGCCGTCATCAGCTTTCTGGTAGAGTGTCTCATGGAACAAGATCACTCCAGAGATGTATTTGCTGATCTCATTGTCGCAGGTAAAGAGAAGCTGAAAAATAATGTTCAATGAGAAAAATCCAATTGAACACATTACAATTAAAAAATTGGAACTTCCTAATACCAGATTAAAGCAATATGTACAAAAATAAAAAAGTAAGCTCGTATTACCTAAATATCAAGGAAAATTTACTTTGGTCATGTTTTGCAGTTCAAAACATCCGAAACTTCTGTACAAACATACAAATTGTACAGAAGTCTCATACAAATTGTACTTAAATTCTACACATGCCTGATCACCAATTTCTTGAGAGAAACCTCACTGAGGAAAAGCTTTGGATAACCATTGCATTTCTTCATGTAGAGAATTGGCAGAAATTGGCAGAAAACCATTTTCTATTTTATATATATATATATATCGAGTAGCAAAAGGATTTAAAGGGTCTTTTAGAACTTTAAGAACACTCAAGAAAGAAATTGAACGGTGTTTTATTCCAATTGAATTTGGAAATTTGGATTCATTTTTGGTTGTCTTTGTGTAATAAGTGATCATGAAAATTAAAACTATTGTTTACAAACACAGAACCTTGCACGGCATTGAGGTCTTTCCCCCCAAATTATGCCTGTAATTAAATTTACTAGCAGAAGTACAGAACAAGATAATATTAATATAATAATATCATCTAAAATGATAGTAACTGCAGAGTGATCAGTTTAAAAAAGAAAAGTTACAAATATCTTTAAAATTTAAAGCAGAGACTCTCAATCTTAGTATTGAATATAATGCAGACTAAGGTACGGATTTTAATATTCTAATTGATGCCTATTTACATAGTTTATTGTAATCAATTTGCTTTCAGATAAACTTTATACCAGAAATTTGAAAAGCACTGTAGAAAACAGGAATTGCAGACTTGAATTGACAGAACAATTACAATTTATAACCTCTTGTGCAATGGATGAAAGAAATCTTTGAAGGCATTAGCCTATATCAAGATGAGAAATAATTATTCTTGTTACATTTCCTCACACATTGAGATTATTGTATTTTGTTATGATTTCTTGATATACTGTTTCAATTAAACAATAGTAATGACAATACTATAAAATGATAGAAGCCAGTAAATTTGGTAGAGAGAATTCAGCACAGAAATGCTGAAATAAAACTGAAAATAAAATTATTATTTGAAGAAGTTGAATAAAATTTGAAGGAATGTTACAACTTAGTCCAGAAAGGAAAGGGTTGAAAGGCAGGAAATAGAAAGCTCTAGAATATTGTAAAACCTATGGTCAATGTCGCAGCTGGCCTAAAATAAAATGCTTAGCATGATCATATTATTAGTAAGCACAGACTGTGTACTTAACTATTACGATTATGATAAAAATTATCATTCCATGGACTATTAAACCATTAATAACAAACAACTACAAGAAATTTGGCACATTTTAACCAATGCAAGCTAACAGTAGATTTTCCCCATCTTATTCTCTGTATTATCTCACCATTTAATTCTTCAAATAAAAGAAGTATTTGGAAAGGTCACATCTATTATATAAAAGCGGTCACTACGCTGATTGTTCTAGTAGTACTTTAAATTTTGCCATTAAGTTTTTGTTTTTGTACATTTCCATCCTCTTTTATATTTGTGACTGCCAAGGAGGAGATAATTAGTATATGGTATTAATATGTTGAATTTTTTATTTCAAGACACGTGATTATTTACACAAAATTATTTAAAATGTATTGTGAAACTAAAAATATAAAATTAATTATAACACAGTCATTAAAAAGTAAATGTGTTTATGAGATTACAGAAAATCATGAAGTATTTGGAGACTCTTAACATAAAATAAATATTTTTGTCCAATCATGGGTAATTAAACAAATTATTTTCTGCATTTAAATGAGAAATATACAATTTACTGATTTGAAACATTTTTGTCTTTTAATGCAGAAATATTAAATAACCTAATTCATCATTATGAAACAAACTACAGAAAGGCATTTCCTTATTAGCAAATGCAAAATAGTACAGCTTTAGAGAAAAACCAAGTTCCCCGTCTTCTCAATTTAGAATTTTTAAAAAACAATTTTAAAAATAAGTTGGAATCATATCACAAATATGAATTATCTGAATGAGTAAATAGTGTGTTAGTCAGGGTCTTGGTGGATTTAACATGTGATTTCTTATATGATAAAGCAACCAACCTTGTTTCTGTAGTGGAGCCAATAAATTCATAAAATAACAAAAACTATAAGGCATGGTTTTAAAATTTGTGTAAAGAAATTTATGAACAACAAAAAAAATTGTTTTAAACAACAACTAAAACAACATTTGTATTGTGAAGCGGCTAAAAGTTATTCAAAGTAGATGAAGATAATTTTGAAGATGCTACTAGGTAGTAGGTAGACTTAATTAAAATTTTAAATTACCATTATATTTTTGAGATTTTCTCCACAAAGCTATTTATTATAATTGTAACTAAGAAGAGAAGGCAAGTGAATCATTTAGAAGGCATAATATCCCAGGAAGTTATGATATTTTACTTCTGTTCTTTCCACAAGTGAACTCAGCATTATCACTGTTAAAAGTCTTACAGACAGTTTCCTGTAAACTAATTCACAATATAACATTTATGAGGAGGTTTATCTGATAAAGACGTAACTAAAATGGGTAAAATTAGGGCTTTGTGACAAGACTAAATACATTAATATTTGCAAGAATGGTATATAATGAATACTCAATGAACAAGACATGCAAAGAAATTGATAATACGAGTTCTGGTACATTGGTTGAGAACTACTTTCTGAATCCACAACCAATACTGCTGCTATTGTGTTTTCGTAATAGTAAGTTGCTTCTCATTAAGTCAAAAATGGAAAATTTCAGTTGTTCTGTATTTTACAGAAATTTTTCCTTTCCAAAATCTGGAAGGAAAAATGTTGTTTAAACAGTAGTGAGTAAACAGTCAAAGTATCTATCAAAAGAGAAAGTTACAGAACGGAGTATGAAGCTGTGGTGCTGGGGGGGAGGAGGCGAGACCTATGTGTCAAAAACCCCTCCCCTGAATTTTTTGCACATGGACCTGTTATAATTTTTCAATATATTTGTAAGAAAAAAATTCATTTATTTCAGTCATATTATAATCTTTAAAAATGTATACTTCGAAAAATGAAAAACAATGAATTGACTTCTACAATATTGATATTCAAAGTAAAATTGTAATTACTTTTAATTCTAATACGACTGGATTCTTTTGATTTTTACAAATTCTTTGTGGTCTGTTTGCATTATTATTTAATTGTATTCAAATTGCAAAAAATAACTATCTCAAGATTCTACATTAATATTGTTATTTTATTACTGTAACATTTCTGTGATGTTTTGTAACATACATCAAGACTACACTTTAACCTTTGTCTCTAATTCAATCTAATTCAAGGTGCCAGAGTAAGTTAAATATGAGTGACTTGATGACTGTCATCTGAAGACTTCGCAAATAAACACAACAAAACGAAATTATGAGAAAAAAGATCAGTTGGTAAAGAGGTCAACAATAAAACTGTGGAAATCTAGGAAAAAACAGTTTTGTAATCCCCTGTTTACAGCCCTCCCCCATTTAAAATTTTGTTTTGGTGCCACAAGAAAACTGCAATTTTTTAGAACAGGCTCAGTTAAATGATTTTAATTATGAATTTCAGTTCACTAATTTTGTAAGTAATTATTCATTCCTTACCAGAAAAACATTTCATTATGACGGCAAATGTTACATATTATCAATTGACAAGTAATGGCTACATACAACCTAATTGATTTTTTAAATATGTACATAGGTTCATTCATATTTTGCATAATTCAATATTTTTGTAGATTTCCTTCAAATTTGAATAAAAAAAAAGAGTCGACTGAAAATATTGTCACTAAGGGGTCACCCATATTTCACTTAACTGTAAAGATGGGCCGACGGGTTTGAGGCAGTGTTACGCTGTGCTACGTAGGAGTAGTACAGGAAGGAGGGGGGGGAGATTATAGTTTAGTGCTATGGAATGCTAATACGTATTTTTAAAATGTTTCAACATTTCCTGCAATAATTCCTTTTATTATCTCTCGTACCACATCACTGAACTACTAACAAATTAAATTAAAAAACATTAAAAAAAAAATGTTTTGATGTATAAATTGTTGCAATAAAGTAATATATTTTTTCCATCAATGGTATGTTGACTAAATCTGTTACTTTACAATGAAAATATTCAAACTAATATATAGTATATTCTAGAATCCAATTAATTTGGTGCAGTAGACTTGGGGCCCATGCATCATCCGCGATGGCATATGCAAGGCTTGTCACAAACATTCGCACCTACTGTTCTTCCTTCATTACAAAACAATCTTATTGCTAGTTGCAATCTGTATCACAAACTAATTTTGACTTAAATTATCAAAGTTTTGATATATAATACAAATAACATTAATACACCTCATGGTTACTTTTTTATAATTTATACTTATTGTCAATGGGGGGGGGGGAGGAAGGAGTTTTGTCGCAAGTGCTATGTAATTGTTGAGGGGGAGGGTCAGTTACACATCATAGGTGGAGAGGGGATGTTCAAAATACTCCAAATTTGTGTCGCGTAATTTATGGACAGGACGTAATTTATGGATTCTCTAGCTGTTACAACCAGTATCTACTTGAGGGGGTCAGAGAGCAAATTAACTGCACCAAGTGTACATATATTATTAAACCTGTTATCATTTTAAATGACCAGTATTAATTAGAAACTTAAGAAGGATATGAAACAAATTGTTCCTTTCCAAAATCTTAGGTGGTGATTAAGCGGTGAATGCAGCTCGTTATTTTAGGATAAAAGTGATCTATATAGCATTTCTATAGCACTTTTGGCAACTTCTCTGTTGGTCAAATTATGTCTTAACTAAACCCTAATACTACATATTGTAATTAAGTAAGCACAAAGGTATACTTTCACAATTCATCAAGAACTTTTTCTTAAGTCAGAATAAATTCGTTTCTTAGTTCTGTCTACAATCGTGCAATTCAGTAAAATGTTTCCATTAGGCAGCATCACGAATCTTCCCTTACCCTCTTCTGTGGATGTACTTTCATTACTAAGGCGAATTCACTACATTCAAAGTGGGTGTGCGAACTACCTGAAAAAATTTTGAGCTTTTTAATGAGAAATGGCCATTTTATTAATCTTTGAAAGATCTTCAATTCGAAGCCCCGCTCTTTTAAGACTGAAGGGGATTAACGTCTTCCGTAAAATCTGTTCACATTGGAGTCGTGTTAAATAACTGCTTCGTCAATCCCCATAGATCATGCTCTACACGGCCCACAGATTCCTTAGTTTTAATTCGATTTCCGCGTTTCGCTCTGGGGGCGAAGCGGGCGCCAACGCACCTGTCGGTACTTGCGGCGATTATCTTCGTTGTTCTCCACGGAGATGTCCGCGAAACGCTTGCCGATGGTGGAAGTGGACTCGTCGGCGGCCAAGATGCCTTTGCCGGGAGCCACGATGGCCTGCGCGATCTTGCGCAGCTCCTCCTGCAGGGCGGGAGACGGGTACTCGAACCACGTGGTCATGACTGGTATGCCTGTGGCAATGGATCTGCAAAAAGAACAGACAACCCGTCAGCGATCGATACCCACTGTTGGTGCACCAACACCGCTCGGTAAACGAGCAACACATGTCGTAGACAATTCCTAGAAAATTACACTAACATTCTATAAGGTAGCTGATAAGAGGGCACGTATACCGGTTGCAGAGACGAGAACTATGCCACGGGGCGGTGGCAGGGGCGGGGCGGGGCGGCG